TTTGCTTTGCAAAAAGTGCCATTTTTTAAATGAGCATTGCAGTAAACAGTGAAGGGAATTTAGCAAAACTGGATCAGACAATCTGGAACAGTTGTCCATGGCAACCAATCAGCTTCTCTCACTCATTTTCAAATCTTAACTGAACAAACTAGAGAGAAAAGCGGATTGGTTGCCGAGCACAGCTGCTCCAGTTTTGATAAATTTCCCCTTTTGCATTGTGACAGTTTATTCAGTATATGACAACACATTTCACATCTGTCAATGTATGGCCTGTTTTACATATGGAGAGTTTTTTGAATTATGTGACAGAATATCATATTAATTATATAAATCTGCAATCAACATTCAAGCACTTAACATCATCAATGACAAATTCCTGCTCATTAATGATAAGGCATTTGTGAAAATACTATAAAGGATTGTATCGTTTCTGAATTGATCACGGTTTGCTACTAAAAGGGAAAAAAATGTTGTGCAGTATGCTGAAGAATTCCTGCATTTTACATAATATGAAAATATTAGGACGACCTTGCAATCTGTCATATCAGGAAAAAATACTTTTGTATCTGTGGACTGCGTAAGGACATGTTAATGCACAAGACCAGCAGAATGTTGAACTAAGAATCCCTGTTTGTTTTTTAAAAATACCTCTGCAAAAGGCGGAAATGGGCTTTAAACCTAAATTACTAAATCTAAGCTTTAACATGGTAATGTAATTTAAAAAATGTGTTTCAACATTTGGCAAATCTGTAGCTTCCATTACAATAGTGGGTAATATTTCAGGTACTTCCTGTTACAGGGTGACAATACTTCTGTCTCTCACTTAAACAGGCATGGTCCATTATTACCATAGTCAAGAAAAATGCCCTATGAAATGCCATGCATTATGTATTTACATCTACTTTATACGATAGCCAAACCCAAGAATAAAAGTGTAATGTATTGTAGCTTAGAAGTCCGATGTGGTGGCTGCATTAGAACATTTTTAGCAGGTACAGAAAATACTTGTTGATCTTAAAGGAAATGCAGAGTCCTTTTCACCTCCTGTGAAGTTAAATGGAAGCAAAAGCAATGTTATCTTTCTTGCATAAACTACTAATAATATCACCTGCTATTTAACAGTGATGGATAAAGACATACGTGGCTAAAGTTCAGTGGGTGGCAACCATGCTTCCTCCAGAGATATAGTAGAAGAGTGAGCGTAGCCACCCTAGGACAGGAAATGTGTTCATCACAGAATTACCAGATTGAATCAGGTGAAAGGTCTGAACAGAAATCCATGGCAGACAACTTGTCTAAAGACTGGTAAGCCGCAGCATATTACATTTTTGTTTTTGGGTTCAGGCTTTAAGACAGAGTAACTCAAACACATGTACATTTTAAGAAGCATTACGTTAAACCACACTGATACATATACACAGTTGTAAAGGAAACTAGACATCAACATACTGAAATTACATTGACTGCACAAATCTATACACTAAGTGAGGCAGAAACGCTGGGCCTCATTTACCTGCTGTTGCAATCGGAGCTTGTCCTCTTCCAGCTGTTTAGCCTTTAACCTCTCCATCTCGATTTGATGAAGACAATCTTCTCGGACTCGCCTGATGGAGTCTTGTCTCTCCTGAATGCTCCGATCACACTCTAACTGCAATTCTGCTCTTGCTTTCTTCAACTAAAACAGTACAAAAGGTGTCACTTTTATAAAAGGGCAAGACTTTGATTTTTTTTGCACTTCCCAAAAAATACAATATACAGAATTTAGGTATCATGTATGGTGTCACAAGGTGTGGTTGAATATGAAAATGTTTTTTGTGTGTAGAGCGCAGTAAGAAACTGCATCAAAGATTATGTTTATAGTCAGAGTCAAGCAAAAAGCACAAAAGATAATCATATTGTTACCCAAATTACTATTTTAAGTTGTGAACCGCTATATAAAAGTGTTCAAACTTACAAGTATATGGTTCTGAGGATTCAATCATGAGATTTTTGAGCTCAACACAACAACAACATAAATGTATTGGTATATAGTATCAAGACTTAAATACAGCAAACCAACAATCTATTTAACTACAAAATACAAAGAAAAGATGCAAACATGCAAAATGCACAGACATTGATATATAAACAGACAAACGGTAGACATACATTTAAGTGGGGGAAAGAGTATATGGCTATTTACCCATTAATCGTCACATGAGGGCCCCATCCTGGTGGTCTAAAAAGACTAGCGACCTAACTTCTTCCCTCAACCGTTAATATACCTTCACCTTTACCCTCAGCTTCTTTAGCAAGGCAGTGGTCTTCTTAGAGGTGTGTTTGGGGTCGTTATCATGTTGGAATACTGCCCTGCAGGCTCAGTCTCTGAAGGGAGGGGATCATGCTCTGCTTCAGTATGTCACAGTACATGTTGGCATTCATGGTTCGCTCAATGCACTGTAGCTCCCCAGTGCCCGGCAGCACTCATGCAGCCCCAGACCATGACACTCCGACACCCATGCTTGACTGTAGGCAAGACACACTTGCCTTTGTACTCCTCACCTGGTTGCCGTCACACACGCTTGACACCATCTGAACCGAATAAGTTTATCTTGGTCTCATCGGACCACAGAACATGGTTCCAGTAATCCATGTCCTTAGTCTGCTTGTCTTCCGCAAACTGTTTGCAGGCTTTCTTGTGCATCATCTTTAGAAGAGGCTTCCTTCTGGGACGACAGCCGTGCAGACCAATTTGATGCAGTGTGGGGCATATGGTTTGAGCACTGACAGGCTGACCCCCCACCCCTTCAACCTCTGCAGCAATGCTGGCAGCACTCATACGTCTATTTCCCAAAGACAACCTCTGGATATGACGCTGAGCACGTGCACTCAACTTCTTTGGTCGACCATGGTGAGGCCTGTTCTGAGTGGAACCTGTCCTGTTAAATGGCTGTATGGTCTTGGCCACCGTGCTGCAGCTCAGTTTCAGGGTCTTGGCCATCTTTATGTAGAGCAACAATTCTTTTTTTCAGATCCTCAGAGAGTTCTTTGCCATGAGGTGCCATGTTGAGATACTGATTATATATATCTGTGAGATACTGATATATACACACACACACACACACACACACACACACAAGTTTAAAAGAAACAGACAAAATACACACACTCACATATGGCTGATAGAAGGAGTTGAGTTTTCACTCAAATTGTAGCTTTGTTCACATTGAATACCCAAACATGTGCAGTTGAACTAAACAGGAATTTGCTTTTTACATGACCGGATAAATAAAGTAAATCTTCACTCAATTTATTGAGTGAAGATTCTCTACTTCTCCAAATGTAGCAGGTGAAACTCGAATAATTAGAGTATCGTGCAAAGTTCATTTATTTCACTAATGCAACTTAAAAGGTGAAACTAATATATGAGATAGACTCATTACATGCAAAGCAAGATAATTCAAGCCGTGATTTGTCATAATTGTGATGATTATGGCTCACAGCTCATGAAAACCCCAAGAACCCCAAATCCACAACCTCAAAAAATTAGAATATTACATGCAATCAATAAAACAAAGATTGTACATAGAACAATATCGGACCTCTGAAAAGTACAAGCATGCATATGTACTCAGTACTTGGTTTGGGCCCCTTTTGCAGCACTTACTGCAATTACTTTTGCACGATATTCTAATTATTTGAGTTTCACCTGTACATGATTAGTATACAGAATTCCAACAGCTAAAAGCAGCTCCGTTTTTAGCGTAGTGTCAAGGAAAAAAAGGCCCTAACCTTCCAGCTTGGATTTTTTGTCCTTCAATGAATGGAAGAGAAAATTAGACACTTTTTCTAGCAATTAATAGATCTACACATCAACCTGTTGAATCCACTCAGAAAAAGTGGATCTGGAAGCCAGAAACTGCTAATGACTTGGAGTAACAGAGATAAAAAAAAGCAGCGGATGGGAGGTAAACCCTGACACCCTCACCACATACAGGGAATGGATTGCAATCTCCTTCTGCCGAACCAGAGTCGGGCATAGGGAACCAACACTTTTTTATGAAGCTGGAAGTCACAGATCACACTGGGTAAAAAGGAGGTCCTTGGTCACAAAACAACCTTGTCTTATGTAAGGGGCCCCTTACAGGATCACAATGGTAACCTTGCGACTGAAGTGATGGCCCCAAGAAGGATACTGTATGGAATAGTAACATCAAGATGATATCACAAATCGATGCAAGCTAGATTCAAATCTCACAGATGGAGTAAAGTCCTAACAGGGTAAGCAATGTGTCTAATCCCTTGTAATAAAAGGTATGAAACAGCAAATGATTCATGTCTAGGTTTAATGATTAGACAATACAATGTCACTGTATCATGGGTTTATGTGCCTCCCATAGTGGGAAGGTGGGTATGTTTGGCAAGCGACTGTGGGAAAGATGGCCCATAACTATGAACCAAATGGATGCTTAAAGAGAGGTGTCTGTTAGCAATGAATCATTAAGAGACCTAGATGAGTCAGTTGATGTGGTCATGGTGATAATGACAACGCAGGGTATCACTTTGTGTGAAGATGAAAGCATAGCAGATAGTAGGGTATGTGTTATGAAAATGTGGTCTATTCTAAAGAACAGAATGTATAATCTATAGTTGTTGGATGCATTTCTCTACCAGCAATCAACAAGGGCATGTTGGGCACAGAAGGGCCTGAGTCTGCAGGAGTTGAGGGAGGAATAGCTGATTTGTCGAGGCTGGGTTCAAAGGTGGCCATACACTTTACAACCATTGCAAGACCTTAGTCTTGCGATGGTTGTAAAGTAATTAAAAAAACGTACGATCTGCCCATCTTGGACAGGCAGATCGTACTTGCGATCATCGCAAGCCCGCCCCCGAGGGGCGGGCTTTCCGATGACCGCAATGCTGAACGGGCAGTGTGCGCGTGCGCACACCGGCCCGTGCGGCATTGATCTTACGATCATGCTAAAAACCAGCCGAAAATCGTACGATTCTCGGCTGGTTTTCTAGCGTGCTCCTTAGACAAAAGACGTGCGACCATACAGTAGAAACGGTCGCACGTCTTCATTCACACTGCACGATTCTCGTACGATCTCGGGATTTCCCGCTATTCTCGTACGAGAATCGTGCAGTGTATGGGCACATTAAGTGTGAGATTAGATAAAATAAGTGCCCCTGACAGGTGTGTTTTAATCATGTTAAAGGAGGTGTTTGGTGGTGCGCATTAGGTAAGAACTGTTGTCTCCTGGTCAGTTTGATTAATTATAATCAAGCTGTGTGCCTCAATGGATGATAGAGAGTTGTAATTTTTTGCTCATATGACTGGCTCACTACTGTTCCTAGCAGTTTTTTTCTTAGACTGGAACTGACCATGTGACTATACCATGAAGACTCTCCCACTCAAAGCAACTGTAGAACATAGATGGAATCCATGTGTTAGTTTCAGAACAAAGAGCAGCAAGTAGGACAATTCAGAAAAGGTTTCTAAAATCATAACTGAATTAATTGTTCTTTAAGCAAAGTGGAGTTACATTTTAAAGTGAGCTTATCAGATAAATAATAAGCCCTCATCCTTCAAGCTGCAAGAGTCGCTAATTAAAATGTGCTTACGCCATGCTAAAGTGTCCTCTTAAACATTAATATTGTATTGCATTTAAATAACATAAATAGGTACCCGTTATCTGCCCTACCTAATCTTTGGACCCAAAAGGTAAACCAACTCACTGGTGCCGCCCATACTATGGTCTCAATCTTATAAGCCCTCATAAGAACCTCCATTTCCAGCTAAGCTTTTGTAGCCAACACTTCAACGGCAAGCCTGGTCTTAACGTTATCTACCATATGGTAACAATATGCAGACTGACTAAGTAATTACACTAACTAAATAAAAAATGTTCATGACATTGGAAGCAATACTTAATTATAGGATACTTTATATTCTTAAAGTCCAAGCATATGAGAAGTTTCTGAACTATATAGGAAGCAGACTGTTTCTTCCAAGTACAGAAACGCATATAAGTGTCAATAAACTAGTTTTCAAACAAAAGAAAAAGATGAACATCACTGAAACGAGCAATAGGAATCTGAACCTATTACTGAAACAGAGTTATTCCACTTATTCTTTTATATGTAAAAACTTACATGGTAACTAAAAGACAATTTTCATAAAACTTTCCTAGAGCAGATCCAGTATGTCAACATGTCCAGAATAAATTAATGTGTCTTAGATAAGGAAATGTTTAAGGCACCAGAGTTACTCTCTGCTTTATGTCTGCATCATAACAGATGTCGGATTTTACCAATAGGATTGTGCCAAGAACAGAAAGCAGGATATTCACCCTGACCCTGATGATTTATGGCTTTTCTTCCCCTTCCACTCCTAGGCGGAAAACTTTACACTTCATAGGTAAAGCTCTAGAAGCCTGATCATATTTTACAATATATGAGACGAAAGAACAAAAGTGAAAACAAATAGCATTGACATCATCACAATACGATTTACTGGTTTATTTGGCTTTTAAGTAACTGTATATTCATCCCATCAAAAAGTCTTCTTTTTATTGGAGCATTCAGTAACTTTACAAGTCTGCATGAATACATTTCTGACAAGTCACTATAAATATATATAACTGTACCATTTACCATTAAAAAAAATACAAAAAAATGTAATCTCCTGTCAAGTGATTTTGCAAAGCCAGTGTCATCAGCTTAACCACCTCCCGCTCGCCGAACGCTGAAAGACGGCCGGACAGGAGTCTTCTGGATGCGGGTGGACGTCCCCGTGCCTGCGCACGAGCGGGGAAACTACCGGAATGTTAAACGGCCAGTGATGGCCGTTTACATACAAGCGGTCCGGCATCTGGGACCGACAGTGTGGCTCCCTGCACTGAGAACGGAGGGAGATCAGTAAAGATCTCAATCCGCCCCCCCTAAGTACGGAGCCTTGATCCGATCTAAATTTGGAACCGAGTCCATAGCAGTTCTGAGATTTCTGACATCACACTCAAGAGGGTGGTGCCCAACATCAGTCTTTACAGTTAAATAACAGGCATAAGATACGCTAAAGATACTTATAATCTTAAGCATGCTGGAAGAATGAGGGTATTAGAGTCTCCTGCAGGCAAAAGGAAGTTTTAACTCAGTCATTCTCGGCCGCCCCCTCCCTCTCTTCCGCCCCTGTCGCCACTCGTTGTACACTGTAGCTTTCTCACATATTAAGAGGCAGCAGCAGTGGGTTGATCTGTGCAAGACAACGTGTGTAATCACAGCTAAAAAAAAAAACGTACAAACTACATCACAGGCACCCAGATTTACATGACTCGCCACATCTAGACCAGAATCTCAGTCCAGAAAGTGGATTCTGACCCTGAATGATGCCTAAGATGTCACCCTCCTACTGGGGGAAAAGGAAATTTAGGTAAAAAAATAAAAAAAAGATACCAGTATCTGTATGGGTGCAGATACCTGGCATTTTCACAAGAACTACCGGGGTTGCAGCATCAGCTGGGCCCTGGTGCTTCACCATTGTCCTGAACTTAGTCTATATTGTTTTCGAAAAACAATGACATGACACTAAAAAATAAAATTTTAAAAAATGGTATTGGTGCATTATGTATATATATATTACTAGTATTGCTTCTAAGTATTAATCGAGGGATTAATCGTTAATTTCCGCAGCCCTAATACATATACACACACACACACACACAACGAATCATACATAAAAACAGGGATGCACAAATCCCAGAAGCCCTGTAGCTAATGCTCCTTAAAAATGACAGCTTCCTCCTAACTTTTGAGTTTTTCTCTAGTCTAGTCTTTCAATGGAGCTGGAAAAGTATCTGTACTTGTACACGTTCACATACGAAAGCAATGATAATATGTGTGACATAAACAGTCGCAAAGCATGTGAGAGCAATAATTCTAAATTGTAATGGAGTTTTATGCTGCTTAAGAGTGGTTGAGCTAAACTGTACTTTGCTGTTGCATGCAACGATGAATTAAAGTATCTTACCTTATCGTATCCAAGTTAATTCTAAACTAATAAACTGCTTTTAAAGCATCGCCTATGGACAAATATCGGTACCATAGTTTTTCGCCATTTAATGGGCATGCGCATTGGATATTGTGTTTTTGTACACTAAAATTAAATGTCTTTTTTACTGAAAAACTACCACCATTTTAATGTACAGGGTCTCAAATTTCAGGGAAAAAAAAATATTTTGATTAAAAAGGGACTGGATATGAAATACCCAATATGTGTGCCATTTTCATACGTGTAGGTAACCAATGCAAGCATTTGTGTTCGTATGTACATGTGGGCGGGGGGGCGGCCTTTAAAAGAGAACTATGGCCAAACCGTTTATGGCGTTAGTTCTCTTTAGGGTCACAGGTGGACATTTCCTAATGTCCTCCTGTGACCCAAAACTCAGCATATAACGGACTATTGCCCACTATATGCTGACAGCGCAGAGTTGTGCTGCAGCCAGGAAGGATCCTGACAATATTGTCAGGATCCACCCCACTAACTGATTGATAGCTGGCTCTGCCTCTCTAGAGCCAGAGCCAGCCGTGCCCACCCCCTCCCCATCTGTCCCTCCAGTCTGCGTTGGAGGAACGGAGAGGGGAGAATCCCTACGGGAAGGGGAAAACCCCCCCCAACAGTAAAAAAAAAAAATTAAAAATTAAATTAAAAAATAAAAACTAAAAAAAACCCCAAAACATCCTGGGAGGCGGGGCGCATGATGCCGCACGCGAGCGGCATTGGGTGACATCACATGCCTGTTGAAGGGGGGAGACATTTTTGTTCTTGCTTGAGGCGCAAAAGGAGCTAGCTAGGGCTCTAGCTGCAGTGTTGCATATCTGCTCTAACTATGGGGGTGCGTACATTTCACTTTCCCCATAGTTTTCATTTAAAGCTAATCATGAGACTTAAAGAACTACAATTGGCAATGTTTTTTCTTGTTTTGTGAACGAATGTTTTATATTATTAATTTCATATAAAATCTTTATGGCACTATTAAACATTTAATGCAGGTCATTTTGCAAAGTATGCTGGGCTTTCTGATAAGAAAGCTGAGAACGTCATTCCTGCTTTTCTGCTGAACTGAAAAAAGGAGGGGTGTGCCTATTATCCAGGTCTATTTTAAGCACAGACTATAGAGCTCCATCTTCTGGCTGCATGTGGTAAATATGAAATATTCATATGGATTAAGAATAAATGTTAAGTACGTAAAATACAAAAAATACATAGAGAGCCTCTTAAAAACACTCCTGTTTGTGCTTTTACAGTCATACATTCTTCAGCCTTCCACACAGAGTTCTTAGTTAATGATAGTTTAGTGATTTTTTTTCATGAGAATGTAATAAATATAGACCAACATCCTTTTCTTCTGGCCTGTTTCAATGTAGTTAAAATCTATTTTGCAATTATATTGAGCTGCTGAAATAAATAATCATACCTCAATTTCATCACTGGCAAGCTGACGCTCTCTCTTTTCTAAATCTGCCAGAGCTTTTTGGCATTGTTCTTTCAGAACTGTGTATTCAGCAACCTGAAAAAATAGATACTACATTTCACTCGACAAAAATATTGCATTTAATCAACCAAATATTGATGTTTTGACGTTCTCTAACTTATAACACGTGTGCTCAAAATCAGTTTTATTCCTAAAACAGTCCTCCTGCTGGGGTTTATGAAGAACAGAAATTCATACTGAGCAGTTCTTTCATGTGTTGGTGTCTTTTGAACGGCTTGTTTGCCTCCCTTACCAAACAACAGGACCAATTTATACCACAATAAAGCAGGATGAAAGACACATTAGAACAGTGTAATATCAAGTTAGCAATCATTACAAAAGAACTGTAAAGCTCAACTGGTAACTTTTCTGGACAACCCAGTCCAAGCCTCTACTTTTGCCATGACGTGAAATAAAATTAAATATTAATGATAAAGAAAAAAGGTATTTTTGTAAAATAAAAATGTTATGTAAATATCAAAATACACTTAGTTACCCGAACACACATCTAAACTGAACCTCGTCTCAGACAGACTTTAGAACTGTGTCTGGTCTTAATTTGTCATTTAGGTTTGAAAGGCATATCTTAATATGTGTACTTAAAATAAAACAAAAATAAATAATAATTTGTACGGATGCACCGATATATCGGCCACCAAAACATATCGGCCAAAAATAGCACTTTTGGCAAAAAGCAGAAAGTGAAATTTTCTGGCCGAAATAGCAGTGCATCCGTTCTTTCTCTCTGTGTAGGGAGGGGAGGGGAGAAACTGTCACAGGTGACAGAGTGCTGCAGGAGGAGAGCACTGTGAGCAGCTGATGGTCTCTCCTCCCACACAGCTCAGCCTCCTGTCACAGATCGGGAGAGTGTTATGGGTGGAGACAACTTGCAGTGCTGTCACAGGAGGCTGAGCTCCGCTCACTCAGCCTCCTGTGACAGCATGTCAGGAAGGAGAGCGGGTACAAGCAGTCAGTGATCGCTGAGTGCTTGTAAATAATTGGGGACATAGTATGTTGACTATATCCTCAATCATGAATGAATGGGAAGTGATCTCCATCCCCTCCTGTTCATTCATGATTGTGGTTCTAGTAAACACACTATGTCCTCAAATTGAATGAACAGGAACACTCAGTATAGAGGATTCATGTTCATTTATAACGGGCTGTTTTTTCTATTTTTAAAGGGAAATATCAGGGGTCTGTTTAGACCCCTGATATAAAAGTTTATAAAAAATAAAATATTTAAAAATGTTTTGAAAAAGTTATAAAAAACATTTTCGGTTTCAGCCTGACAATTATTTTCATTTCGGTTTTGACATTTTTATTTCGGCGCACCTCTAGTAATTTGCTCTCTAGTACAATGATTATTATCCAACCACTTTCTGCCCATATTTTTTTTTTATGTAAGCAGTGTGACTACCTGAATTTGGCCTGGTATCAGCCATTTGCAGTTCCTGTACTGCAGGGATAATTTATGAGAGGAAGAAGCAGCACAAGCAGCAAATCAGTTTCTGTGCTGACAAGAAGACATTCTGATAGGAGAAGAAAGCAGAGTGACAGACAGATAAGCTCATCACTTAGCTGCTTTTGATTTCACTATCAAGTCACAGACTGGCATTGGTCCAGAACAACCAGGACTGAAGAACATCCAGAAACTGGACGTGGGAGAATCTCTTACTTAAAAGGTGAATATTGCAGCAAATGCTGGTTTTGTTATCTTTTAATGGGCTTTTCGTGTTTATCTTTGGCTTCAGTCCTGCCCTAATAAACTTCCTTCCTTTGACAGCGATCAAATGACATTTTGCACAACTTCTAGCGGACAAACTCCACTGTAAATCAACAGCTTTGGTCCCAATTGGAAAGCAATCTGAGAGGTTCCGGTGAAAACACATGCAAGCTAAAAGGTTTCATTTACAAAAAATAGTTTCAGCTTGCAAAGACCACTGCAGCCTGTAGATCTCAGAGTGCCTCTGTTTAATACAGTAATCGTCTGATAGAATTTTAGTATTAAAAAAAAAAAAAGAGAGAGAACATGTTATTTAAAAAAAATACATATAAATGCAGCAACATATTTTATTTACACTTGTCAGTCAATCATAAAATCACAGAAGGATTTGTAAAATGTTATAGGTAGGCGCCGGAAGTATAGTAAAGCCAACCCTGCATACAGCATGTTAACACCGCTTAAAGTGACACTAAACTGAGGAGTGAAATCTTAAAAATGCATTCAAGTAGCTTAACTATTAACAAAAATGTATCTTATTTGTATATCACTCGGCTGTAGATCCTTGAATCATCTCTGAATTGGTGCCGACACTGTCCTTCCTTCTGGAGGGTGGCTACTTTGGTTCCCCATGGTCCCTGTGTGTGTTGTAAGGCAGTGGCTCCAAGCTTGCTCCTTCACTCTCACTCTCCATACAACTTCACTCTCCATACAAATTAGTAAAGTAAACATGAGATTATACTCCATCACACAAGTGAGCTTGGAGTGGTGGCTACTTTACAACACACACAGGGACCATGGGGAACAAAAGTAGCCACCCTCCAGAAGGAAGGACAGTGTCAGCATGCATTCAGAGATGATCTGAGGCTCTGTAGCTAAGTGATACACAAATAAGATACATTTTTGTTAATAGTTAAGGTATGAGTTTAGTGTCACTTTAATTCAGCTTGGACGTCTACCATCAGTGACCTCTGTGCATGTTAAACTCCTAAAATAAAAAAAGTAGTGGGCATGGAAATTTACCAGCCAATTCCGTGCACCATGAAACTTAAGTAAGGGCAAGGCATTCTGGTGCAGAGTCTATATTCCAGTCATATAGCAACTAAAGAACATATGTCTTTTCAGATTCTGAAGACACCAAAAAAAAAATTCTGGCTGAAATCAATCTACACAGTCATCAGAGGTTGTCATGGTGATAAAGATTTCCAGACAGTTCATAAACTGTTCAGCTATGACTTCAGTGAACAACTTCTGAATGTTTTCTCTGAAGAAAAAAAAAAAAAAAAAAAAGACTTAAAAGTTCAGTCTACACAACAGTGACATCTAAATTATAGGTGGAGCCTGGGATTAGCCCCTGTCTTCTTATTCTACAATAGTAAGAGATCTCTTCAGTAGATGCTGTCTGTATGTGGACAGATCCTGTTCACCTGGAAGTCTCTGCCCCTTTCTGTTATATTCTCAACAATATAAAATAAAACTCCAACAGGGACAGCAGGAGCCCTCCTCATGGCCACGGCAGACGTGAAGAAGCAGGAACTCAAGAACAAATGTCTCACACATAAAGTACCTAAGAGACATAAGAAATTGTCACAGGGTTTAACGTCAAGTCTCTACCAAAACTTAAATATCAGTTTTGGGTAGACTGGTACCTTACTCGCTGAACAGAATGAGAAATGTGGCACTCAACATTGATCTAAACATAGACAACTGCATATGAAAACAGCTAAACGTGTGTATTCCTATTAAGGTCTGACCTTTTTCTTTACGATTGCTTCCCTTTCTCTGTCTCTCCTCTTCCACTCTTCTGATAGAGCTTGCATGTGGGCCAACTCTTTCTTCTTAAACTGCCATAAAAATGCAAAGACACAAAGCAGATGGTTTAAAGGCATACAGTTCCCATTTTTACCATCCATTCCTGTTTATCTATGTGAAACATTCAAAGATAAAAGTATGAAATAAAGTTTTGGCAAACAAGATATACATGTTTTACAATGCAACTGAAATATTGTCAGCATACAGCAATTCCTTTCCTCTCTCTACTATATTCTTATTGCCTTCCAGTACAGTCAATAATTTTGGTGTGTGGGGCCTATACTATTAACATGCTGAACTGAAAACATGGCCAAGCTCCATGGAAGTCCTTCCCACATTTTCAGAAAGACTTGGAAAAGAAATGGGAGCATGTGGAAATCAAAAAACGGCAAAATGCCATACATAGAAAAAAGCAAATGATAAATGGTCATACATTACACACAAAGAAGCCAAATGATATGGTCACACTTAAGCATGAAAAAGTGCACATGGAACGTTTAATGAGATCTGTGTCATTAACTTAAAAAAGCCATTTGTGTATTATTGCTATTTTTTTTTCTTTTATTCTTTTCCTGTCTTGAAAAAAGTTAAATAATATAATATATATAAAGCCATTTACATCTCTGCATTCAGCAGCACTCCCAATAAGGGCACACATTATGGGTTCATTTATTAATAGGCAAGGCTATTTGCCCTGCGATTCTCTGTGAACATTCGTTCTGTGCAAATGGAGACAAAAACAAAACATCCTTATAATAGTTTCAGGTTGAATGTAATATTCAGAAAATACCGCATTATGGCCACTAGATGGAGCTTAGAGGCATAGGAAGCACTTATTTCCTATGCTCCCCAGCTCCATCTAGTTCCCTTTTCAGGTCAAATGTGTTATTTGACAAATACCGCAATATGGCCACTAGGTGGCGCTAGGGAGCATAGCACATAAAGACCGCTATATGTGCATGTTCACATGCATTTAATAGCATCATTAGGCAGCTCAAAGCCTGTGGGAAGTAACAGTATGAACTGGTCTTGAATGCAAACCATTCAAACCACATTTTGGCTTTTAAAACATTCGAACAAGACTTCAAAATAAAAATGGGATGGTCAGGCATATCAGGCAGTCCATAACATAAAACCAAGCAAAGCAGGTTCAGATCATTTTTGGCCTTCACTGGTGGTAAAATGCCTCCACAGCAACCCAAGCTAAATGACATAGGGGACAAAGCATTTCATGGAAATCCACTTTTGTCCTTAAGACTGTTTCTGTGATTCTAATTGGCACCTGCATACTCTTATTACTGATTAAAAGTGCCCAGCAACAGATGACTCCCTACACCTATGAGGAACTTCACCCTTATGTTAAAAGGAGAACTATGAGGCGAGTGCTTTTCACTCACCTCATAGTTCTAGCCGACCTATGCCAATGACACTGTCACAGGTCAGCTCAGTAGATCGGGAGGTGAGCGAACACATACCGGCGTTCACTCACCTCTCGATCCTGTCACAGCTCTCTGCCGTGACAGGGGAGGGCCTGGATTCCCCCCTCCCCGCTACGATCCTCCAGCGCTGACTGGCGGATCGGACAGGGGAGGGGGCAGGTACAGCTGACATAATTGTCGGGGTCCGCTTCAGCTGCGGCGTCTCAGTATACTGCGAGCTGTAGCTCGCGGTATACAGAGCTTAGGGTGACGGGAGGACACTAGTTTGTGTCCTCCCGTTACCCTGAGGAGAACTATGGGGAAAAGCCTTAACCCCATAGTTCTCCTTTAAAAATTAAAATCAGGGCACCTTTAGAAATAATTTGTAATGGCAATCTACAAACAGATACTTTCCCGGCTTTTTATTCTTTGCATACCTTACCGCGTTTCCCCGAAAAAAAACGCACTAGGTCTTATTTTCGGGGTAGGTCTTATTTTTTATTTGTTTTTAATGTACAGCAATTTGGTAACCTGAAAAAGCGAAGCGCACTTTCACTATCTATTCCTCACAGGCGGAGTGCATTTGGTATCACTTCGCCTGTGACAGGAGTCGGCGCTAAAGAGGATACATCAGCTTATGCGGCTCTGCTCCATGTGATGCCGCCTCGCTTCCTCTAGCACTGGCTTCATTGGCACCGCTGATTCTCTCCTGCGGCTCTTCAGGTTCCCCCTTATGCCACCACCAGCCCTGGCAATGGTCACAACTAGGTCTTATTTTCAGGGTACGTCTAAACTAGGAAGTGGGGGGGAGGGTATAAAAATAAAATCACTTAAACTAAACGTAGATAATTTAATCATAGGTAAAAATAACACAGAAAGTAGTAAAAAAGGAGTTCATAATAGTGGGCTCACTCCAGTCAATATAGGAAATCCGTTGGCACATGTAAGTATAACTACCAACGGACGACCGAAATCAAGGCAGAATAATAACAATAAAAATAGTGGGGAACAACAAGGTAGTAAACTTTTGTCCCACAAAAAGAGAGGAATTAAATGTATGTACACCAACGCTAGAAGTCTGGCAAATAAAATAGAGGAGCTTGAAATTAGGCTAATTGAAGAGGACTTCGATATAGTGGGTATAGCGGAAACCTGGCTGGACAGCACGCATGACTG